TCGTAGGTGTCTAAAAGCTTCCAAATGCGTCGAAACGCTTAAATAAACGGTTGTTAAAATCTACGAAACCTTAAAAGGATCGGGTATCGGGCACAGCTACCGAATCATCTCCTACGAAACCTTTTTTAAGTTCCGTACAGTAAAAAAGGTTTCGTATTTTCTTACGAAACCTTTGTAGCTTCCTAGTAAACCTTATGGTTTCGTGTAAAACCATAGTGCGAAACCATAGAGTTTAGTAAGAAACTACAAAGGTTTCGTAAGAAAATACAAAACCTTTTTTTGCTGTACGGAACTTAAAAGAGGTTTCGTAGGAGATGATTCGGTAGCTGTGCCCGATACCCGATCCTTTTAAGGTTTCGTAGATTTTAACAACCATTTATTTAAGCGTTTCGACGCATTTGGAAGCTTTTAGACACCTACGAAACCTTTTTGGAGGGTTCGGTAGAAACCCTTTTTTTTACAGTGCAAGTTGATGATTTTGTTCACTTTTAACTTCGTCATTTCGTCGTATCCCGGATCATATGTTGTTTTTGTTATTATGCTTAAACATCTTTCGATTATGTGAAGAAGTATTGATCTCATCAAAAATTTTCGTAAATTCAAGTCTTTCTTGTACGAAAAATATTTAAGATGACTGTTTCTTTGTTTTAATTTGCTATTTTGTGCAAAAACTTGTTATTCCATTATCTTCATGAAAATAAATTAAATAAATAATTGAAATTGGAATCATGTATTAATACAGAGTTATAGAATTTAGTGGATTTGAAAAATCAGAAACATCAATTGGCCTGGTTTGGCCTGCACGTCAGGCCAGGCCAGGCTGCAGGCCACTCTTTGACTTTTGGCCTGGCCTGTAGGCTAAGTCAGGCCAGGCCAGGCCAGAAAAAAGTGGCCTGTTGGCATCTCTGTTTCAAATATGTGTTTCAGTTGTCTGACACAAATTTTAGCATGTAAATTAACCAGTTCTGAAAATTTTCTCTTTGTTTATCAATGTAGTGTCATTCATAAAGTTTGTTTTGATCTCTTCTTGCTCTCTTTCATACGACAACTGGAAATTATGTATAAAATAATTCACATGTAATTTTCTTACTTCACATGAGGTAAAATTTCGTTCGTGAGATCAATCATAATACTTAATTTTAGTATTTGCTTACATTATCTATATTAAAAAATTTTTCAGTAAAGTTCTATCACTAACCAAAAAACCAATCCATTTGATTGAACCGAAGTGAAAATATGTAAATTTCTTATCGCCTAGGTCTTTATGGATCACCGTGGATATTACAGTTTTTATCTTGAATTAAAAAGTGATATTTATTTTGTCGAAATTTCTATCTTTCAATCTTTTTACATTTCGATATTTTATTTTTTGAGATTTCTATATTCTACATTTTTACCTTTTGATTTTTAACTTTGGACATTATTGTCGTTCGATATTTTTTCTTTCAATCAAAATAGGATTAATCTTTTTGTTGAACATCTTCTTGTCTCTTTTGTCTTTGAATTAGATCAAAATCTCAACTACCTTCACTTGATGAAAGATACATTTCATATCAACATTAATTTGCCTACCCATGTGCATAGAACCGCTAAAAAACCGGCGGTTAACCGGCGGTATACCGATCGTATAACTGTGCGGAATACCAGCGGTTAACCGGCGGTTTTTTCCGGTTACCGCCGGTTAACCGCGGTTTTTCGCCGGTTTTAATTGAGTGTGCATACTATCGCAATCAGGTACTTTATTCCAATCAGAATGTTTTAGAAAATAGGTTTTTCGACGACCTTTTATTGATTTAATACAAATTTCATATAAAAGATGCATAAGATGTGACTATGTAATGTCACATGATTTCACAGAAAATAAATGGTTCATGGCTGAGTTAACAAATTAAAAACAAAAACAATCACCGGATATATATACATGAAACGATTTCTCAACCGGTAATAATGCAATCACTTTCAGAAATGATGGAGAAAAACGACAAACATAAAAAAATATGAGCACAAGTATAAGATAAAGACAAGTATAAGATAAAGTTTTCATAGTAAACAGTAAAAAAAAACAAATACATTACACGATGAAATTATTCATCAAGACTATCCTTGATTTGATCCTTCAGTAGAAATTCTTGTACTATTGGTGGTATTTGATGAATCTTTCTTCCAGTTTCTTCGTTTATTCAATATTGCTTCACGAATATTAGGCCATTCGACCTCAAGTTGCTTTTGGCTTAACTTAAATTTACATCTTACTGCTTCTAAAATAGGTAAAGATTGAAAATCCTTTTGTATTAAAAAATTTGCATGATAATATCTCATGCTACGGGAAAGTTTCAATTCAGTAATTTGAATAAGTAAAACAAACCTCGTATAAATGCATAACCTGGATGTTCCAGGAGTTCTTGCTTTTTTTTTATTGGATCGAGTTCCAAAAGTTCTTCTCGGAAAATATTTTGTCCACTAATTTCAATGCAAATAGATTTTTTTTCGTTCGTTCACCAGGTATGATTAATGCATCGATAAAAGTGTTGCCGTCATCGGTTGAATAAAGCTATAGAATTCGTAAATGAAGAGATACAAATAGTTAAAATAGTTTCATTTTACCAGTTCAGAAGGAAATGCCATCTCATTATTGTTTGATCGACGTTCATCTACAGGTAATACTGTATCTTCAATATCGACATATATCTGAAAATGATATAAAACACTTGAAAGAAAATACACTCAACTATTAAAGCCTACTTTGTTCTTTAAAAGGGCCTTTTTTATTTTTTTTTGATTTTCCAGTATCAAATTTTGAGTTTGTTCTTGACGCTCGTGATACGACAGAACTTGTTCGAACATTTTTCTCGTATATTGTCCATCAGCTTCAGTTTGATTTAGCTTATTTATGACATTCGTCTCAAAAGACAAATAATTCTCAATGTTGTCTTCACCATCATCTTTATTATTTCGATAATCTTTTGTTTTGCTGAGGCTTTTGGACCTCTTGGATGAAACTGTTATTGTCTAAAACATAGAAAAACGTATATAAATAGGTTGCGAACTTTTTACCAATTATATGATATCTATTACTCTATCAATTTTTCCTCTCTTAGATCAACTATCTGAAATCGATCCTATTCAATAACCATCAATCGTGCAATTAGTAGGAGATTTCTTCATATCCGTAGGTGTATTTTGGTATTAAGTGATAAATATGGATAGTAGCTCTTTCTATACAGATATTCAATGTGAGTTTCCATACATACTCAAATCTATTATAATTAATTATGTTGTATTTATACGGTGATTTGATTTTGACAGCAGTGCGAGAGGTCAGAGAAGACAAGGAAAGTTAAAAATTTCATTTGAATTCAATGCAATGACATCATTTTCATTGATATTCATGACAGTTCTATAGTTATCAAAAGATTTTACAGGGTTGATGAACACCAAGAACAATCATAAAAGTTTCTTAAGATTTCATAGAGCTTGATAGATCTATGAAAGATCTAGGATACCAAATGGAACTTCGTATAATTTCGGATAACTTCTTGAGATATCAATTTTTCAGTTGCTGTTATTTCTACCTTGGCTAGTCCAGCCACATTGTAGTTGCTGAATCAAGACATTTGCAACTATACAGTACACACATTTATTTTTACATAGTTTATATATTAGTACATGTAATTAACTTCCAAATAACTATAAACACTTACAGATGATGTTCCTTTATAAGCTCGTTTGGTAGCTGGTGTTAATGGAAATGGTCGGGAAGATAATGTTAATTCTTCATACTCGTCAGAAACATCACCTTGATCATCATCTGGAATCGGATCCACCAACGAAGAATGAATCATATGTTTATCAAGTGAATTGTTAAGATGTTCAACTAAAAATGAGATAGTATAGTTGTTCCACAGTTAAAAAAAAATTTCTCTAATAGCAGTGTTTGCTTATTCTTATTCTAGTTATTAAAAAAACTTACCTGATACAACTGGTGCTGTTGTTTTTTTTTGATTATGAAAAGATTTTTTTTTACGAGAATCGCAATCTTAGAAAACAAAAAATGATAATTAATTTAAATTTATAAAAATGAAAATTAACTTAAGTTTATAAAAATTATTACCAGTTACTGGATCTAAAGTATCTTCTGCAGAATTACTTATTGTTGCATCTATAAAAAAAACAGATCCTAAATTACTGTACAATGTAAGTAATATCAGGCACATTTACTTTTAGTTGTTTTTAAATGTTTGTTGACTACCGATGACGAAAAAACTAAAGACGTTTGATTACTATTCTTGTTTAAGCAAGGAAACACACGAGTGCCTAAGCCACTTTTGAAAAACATATTGGTTTTTTCTTGAATAGATGATGGTGTTGACGACATGATAAAAGTTCTAGAAAAAAAATCATGAAAATTTTTTTCTTAATGTGAGATTTCAATCATGTTCAAAATCATTTCTAATTTCAGTTAAACAAAAAAAATCTCCAACTGGTACTGAAATACATTTATGTCGCACTTTGCTCATGGAAAGAATTTCAAACGAATCAGACTTAGATTTTATAGAATATAAACGATCAAGTGGTTCAATAATCTGACAAGTGGCAGTATCAGATATCTTCAGAAGAGATGATAAAGAATTATTTGGTGCTTCATCACGATAATTATTAATAAAAGCATAATAATCATTGTTCCATTGAATAAATATAATACAATCGCCAAAACGTATTTTATCATCTTGATCATGTTTATACGATATAATATGACTGACACATTTGAATTTGTTATCATATAATTTTGAATGGAATGTAATGAAAGGTATCTTGAATCGTTTATAGAATTTTACTTTGTCAAATTGAATAAAGTCGGTCAACATCTCACGAAATTCTTCAAGTTGAGGACTACCAATAGATATTTCATCGACTCCATGTGGTATTTCAACATCAAATTTGGGTTGTTTTATAAGTAATGCTATATCAGTCCAATAGCTGATTTGTGAAGCTAGATTGCGAGTGCCATGTGCTTTTTTTTTCGTATATCTAATACATGATTCAAATGCAAAAGCCGACGAATAGGATAAACCGCCATGGTAACGAACTTGTTCAGCTAAATGAAGGTGACAATGTAAACTGTAGAGTTCGACTGATGGATCATAGATAAGTGATGATGATTCACAGTAAAATCGTAATAATTTTTCAGCTAAATCAATTTCTGCTTCATTTTCAGGCGCATGAAGTAATCTTATCGCAACCACATAGGCTACAAAATGAAAAAGGTGTGTCGATGGTAATATATTGATTAATATTGGAAGGCCAACATATAGAACAAAAAGTCGGCCGTGTTTTGCCTTCCATTGATTTATTTCTTTGATCGAAAAATCGAAACGGATATTCATATTGTGTGGGATACGTTGGTTTAATAAGCGTTCGTCAATTAATGAAATATCTGCAGAGTTCAGCAGCAATAGCCAATGTTCAACTAACATTTTAATATGATTAATGCACACTAAGTGCATATAATCATACAGCACCGACACCGGATACTTAATAATGCATAATAAAGGTGAAAAGCCTCGAACACCATCAATAATTGTTTTACGACCAGTATGATTATGTTTGGCAGCTGCTGCCTGTGCTGCTTGAAGAAAATCATCGTGCGTGCGAAGTTGCTCATCATTCTTTGCAAAAGGATAAAGCATCGTATGGTAGGTTGAGTTGTATTCACCTATTATATAGATGACAAGTGAAGTTTATCTTTTAAAACCATCAGGGAAAACATAAAAACTACTGCTAATGTGACAGCAAGTATCTAACTCACCAGGTGAACGACACCAAGTACATGCAAATTTCCCATTGAAATTGATCGTCTTTAGAAATAAAGACTTAGCAGGAAGGTCGGCTAGAAAGCCTTGAATACGAACTACGAAAACATATTCGTGCCCGTTTAAATAAATAGTAGTACCATTATTCATTAGGGTTCGAAGTTGTGCGAGTAAACCTCGCAGGAAAACATCCACGTCTGGCTTTCTTCGGCTAGACCATAGCCCTAAATGAAGTATATTACGTTGATAATATCGATGCGGTGGTGGAATTTCTAAAATGCAGCCATATATTGGCCAAAGACTTTGTTTGGTACTTCGCACCAGAGGTGCTCCGTCCGCATGCAATAACAAAGTCAGTGTTTGTTCCTATAATAAAAACGCACCAAAGAGTAAAAAAAACATATCTTTAAACATTTTCTGAACTCATTTCTTTGTGTGAAACAAATTTAAGGCTAAAGATTTCAAGGGGATAGAACAAATATCGCAATTAGATCGAGAGATGCAAAGATTGAAACTTATACTCAATTAAACTAGTTAGAAATATAAGTGCAAAATTGTCACATCCTTCCTTCTTATATGAATACTAAAGAGAAAATATATCCTTCGTAGTTTCCACTCACTTTTTTATCATTCATATTTTCATAATAATAACGAAAATTCACAATATCTCCTACAGGAGTTAATTCATTTCTGTTCAAGAATGACTTGGCATTTGCTTTCATGATTCGATGAAGTCCAGCTCGAATATCGAGTGTAACACATTCCGTAACACGGGTGTTGAGCAAATTCTGTTTGTGATATGAGCATTTGGAGTTTGTGCATTTTCTGGCGCCATAATTGCTTTTCACAGTATCACCACCGCAACGTTCACAAATAAACTTGGTATAAAATGAACTGGTACGACCAAAACCTTTTAAAATAGACTTGAGGGATGTTGGTAGCACATTCGGTTGCGGCAAAAGAGATTTAATAAGTTTCAATAATTTCATGGTACTTTGTTTGTCGAGATTCGAACTGGTGGCAAAATCAAGAACTAATTTTGTAGCGGAAATAACAGTATGTTCACTATTCAAGTAAAGACGGGCTGAATTATCAATGACGTTGGAATCATTAAGCATATTATCATGTTCATCAGCAATGTAATCGACCAAATCATTATAACTTGTACTAGTCGTTCTTAAATCATTATCCATCACATTCCTAGTCATGACGTCAGTTTCATCATTCTCAAAACCATCAGAATCAGAGCAAGACGTATCCACAAGCAACCTATTTGCTTGTCTACGTCTTTCCGCACGTCTTTGCCGCTGTGCATTAACTTTATTACTATAGTAATTCTTTGACGACATTTAAACTAACTAGGAGAGCAGTAAAAATCCAACAACAATACCTTGATACTGATAAATTTTAAAATTAAATGCCAACAAAATCTAGAAAAAAAAATATAAATAGTTTATTCCACGATTCAGACAGAATCCTACCTGATCAATGAGTACAAGTAAATAACCAAATAATACGTTCGCAAGTGCTTGAACACAACAGATAATATCTAGAAAAAAAAACCTGCAAGGAACATATAACTTCCAAAACCAAACCTACCTGAGATATAACCGTAAATTAATAAATTGATAATCAAACCGTAACTATCTCACAATAAATAATATCTAGAAACAAAAATTTCTGAAAACGCATAGAACATCTCCATGGCTAAAATTTACCTCAGATATAAGTATAAATAAATAAAATGATAATGAGTGCGCAGGTGCTTGAATAATGAACAATATCTAGAGCAAATAATGCACACACAAATACTACTTTACCAAAAAAACCTACCTCAGAAATAAGTATCAATCAAACGACCAAGAGAGTACGCAAGCACTTGAACAATAGATAATACCTAAAAAAATACATAAACCAATAAACAAATTTCCCAAAAAAGCATTACCTCAGATATAAGTGTATATAGGTGAACCGATAATAACTATGCAACTATTTCAACAATAGAAAATATCTAGACAAAAGACAATAAATAACCAGACCCACAACTTTCCAAGAAACAAATATACCTGGGATATAGATGACAATAAATAAACCAATGATAACTATATAAGTATCTGAACAACAGACAACATCTAGAAAAAAAAATAAAAAAGCACATATAGAACTTTACGGAAAAAATCTTACCAAAATATGAACAGAAATAAGCAAATAATGAGTACACCAATACTTGAATAATAGATAATATCTAGAGAAAAAAATATATATACATACATATAGAAGATTAACAAAAAATAATCTACCTCAGAGATAAGTTTAAATAAATAAACCAATAATAAGTACGCAAGTAATCAAATAGTAGATATTATCTAGACAATATATATATACATATACATGAACATATAGAAGTTTAACAAAAACTAATCTACCTTAGGAGTAGATATAAATAAATCAACGAATAACAAGTACGCAAGTACTTCAATAATAGATAATATCTAGAGAAAAACAAAATATATATATATAGAAATATATAGAAATTTAAGAAAGATAATTTACTTAAAGATTTGTATAGATAAACGAACGAATAATAAGTACGCACGTATTTCAACAATAGATAATACCTAGAGAAAAAACAAAATATATACATCAATATATAGAAGTTTAAGAAAAAATATTTTACCTGGAGATATGTATAAATAAATAAACGAATAATAAGTGCGCAGGTACTTCAACAATAGATAATATCTAGAGAAAAAAAAATATATATAAA